TGATATGAAGAAATAAAATGAAGCGACGGTAGATGTATTATATATGTTACTTTCCAATTTATTTTATATTGCAAATACGTAGAAATCAATACTTTCCCCAACAGACTTAAAAAATCAAATTGTAGTTTATTATTCTAAACACAAAAATAAAAACTATTATAGATTAATGAATTAGAATGAATATACGACACTGATAATTTTTTGTATAGATGTATATTTTACAATAACATACAGTATACAAAGAAAAAGATTAATACATGAACATCCGTATCAGGTTACAAAAAAATATTCGCAGAAACAAGCTTTTTAATTAATTGAAATAGGAAAGAGGATAAAGGAAACGCGAACATTACGATATACGCGAGTACTACAAGGAATGCAGTTAATGATCTCGTTATGAAGATTGTTATTACGCCTATTTTCACGATGTAACTATGTATATAAAATGAGGAACATCTGCACGAATATCCACGTGCGTGGGCGAATGTGGAAGGAATGGTCGAATGGGAAAATATTTCTGTCGAAGAGACCTCACACGAATGAAGCAATAACGAAGAAGATTAATAACATTAAGAGTCATTTTGTAAGTACGACATGAATGAAAGTAGTAACGGTAATTATAATTAGCAATCGATTCATGTGAAACAAATAAAATTTAAAGCAAATCGATTTCATTTCTCAATATGTATATTGTGAAATCCGATATTTCATCTATGACGTTTACAACACGAAATAATTACTGACTTGCGGTTAAAAGAAGGAACAGAAAATTGATTGAACGAATAAATTATAGTGAAAGTTGCGGCAAAGTAATCCGCGATAAAATCAAATTATACGGCTGGTTTGGAAAGTTCTGCTCGTTTTTCTTAGATCCCGAAATCTCTATTTATAGAACTCTCGAACCACTTCCGTTCGCTTACGGCATCGCGATCGTAAGAAACGTTTTTTAAACACTTATCGTGTACTCGCTAATATCCTGATCTTTTTATACCTTTTTTTTGACACATCGAAGTTTTCGTGTTTTGCTTGTAAAATAAAGTTATCATCAATTACATTTGGTATTTTCTTTGGAAAAGATTTATAACCGTAACATATGCAGTTAGCTCCGAGTTTCAACGAGCAACATTAATGAACGAAGATTTTCCTAACAAGTTCTGCTTCAACTATCTTTCTTAGTATCTCTCGACGCAGACATCGTCTCATCAGAAAACATGGAAGTAACCAGATTTTATCAAATTTCGTGTATAAATTCATTAACAAACCAATGTAAATGTAATCGCAATTTTATTTAAAACACATTGTAAGGATTATGAAGACTTCATAATACTACCAATCATATCATGGAACATTTCCAGATTGAAATATCTAATTCAATTACTCTAACAAATAATAAATTGCAAATAATAGAACCTCTATTATTGTCGTTATCCTGTACAAAACGAGCAGAATTCCCATTTCAATCCAACAAAACAACAGTTGGATAATGATGTGAAACAATATGCAGGAGTGCCTATGTTTCCCAATTGAATCGGCAACGTACAGACAATCTCCAGATAACACGAAACATATTTTGCTCTGTCATCATTTTTATAATATTATCAGAGTCTGAATCTTTTTCAAATAATGAGATTTAGTGTTTTGTATAAAACAGTTTAACAAAGAAAAAATTAATAAACATCTGTGCGATGACTATGAAAAGAAACAAATGCTTGTTAGTTTTGCAAATTTATGAGCCTAATTACAATTTTATAGATCGATTGCTTGCAACGCACATTTACTCCAATCGTGTGGACAAAGAAGCAGGACATTTTTGGACAGGAATCATTTTTTCCGCGAGAGGATTGTGTGAATACACGAACGAAACCGTCCGGATACGTTTAGTTGAGTAGAGACGTTTCCGTCAATGGGTAAACCACACCCAAAACCAACATTACGCAAATCATTTTGCAATTTCGGCACACGGCATCGATTTACAAAACTCGCTACACGCTAACACTGCTGCGCATGCCGTCCGCGAACGATGTACATCTGCGGATTAGTACGTTGCTTGCTTTTGCGTTTACAGCGGAACACGAATTCACTTCTCACGCGTCTAACTGAGATGTTACTCTGTTACGGATAATCTCGTACCGTCGCACAACGTGTTAACTAAAACGAGAAACACGGAAAACGCAAAGGTAAAGAAAAAACTGGAGGAACAAAAGCGAAACGGGATGTTAAAAAATAAAACACAAATACTGTGTACGAGTCTTTGATCATGAGAAAAACTGCATCCTTTTAATGATATGAGTTAATCAGTGGAAAGATATGTATTTATTTGAAACGAAAGAACGTACTAATTGCGTTACACATAAAGTTCCTTCAAATAATCACATAAGTAATATGTAATGCTTAATCTTTAAACTCTGTCACACGTGGTAATCAGATAAACGAAAGAGTATCTATACATAAAATTTTTTTTGAGCTCCATGAAACTTAGGAAATATTTCTAATTGCGACTAAAAATGGTTTCAAGACTTTTACACGGTATTGTAAGTGGAAAAGGTTGCTCGGGCTGGTCGAAAACAGCGAAAAGAATACCTGAGGATAATTCAGGCGAGTCGAGGGATAGTAAGACCGGATATAAATTCAGGTTGCAGTACTCTTTATCGCAGCAGTCGCTGGACCGATAGATACCCTTACTGTTGCAGGACGGTTCTTCCGGTGGGAACCATTGCTTTCGGTCGAGGCACCTTTCACAACATCACAATGCCACGTTTAGTTTCAACAGCCCGTTCCAACCAACGAGGTACACCCACGCGCGATTTACCCGTTACTCTCTCGATCGTTCTAATCTTCTACCTTACCGTTCTCGCACGCGATCAAATTTACCTTTTATTCGAAGTTATCACGCGTTGTTCATTGAACTGTTGTGGGGAGATAGAGGAATCTAGCGGGTGTACTTGGAGCAACCGTGAAACCAGTTTCGTATTACATACTTTGTGCAATATAGAACGTCCCAAAAATCGTGGTACAACCGGCTGATGATTCTACGCGCAAAAATAAGTAGAACCATATTTTTGGAACAGCTTGCATTTCAAAGTGATTAGCTAGTAAGTAGCGTGAAATACTTTTCAAAAGGTAAAATTACTTCCACGTTAATCTGGCAAAATCAAAAAAAGAACGAGTTTTAAATGAATACAGACACGAGTAACATAAAAGTTCGGTTCGCGCAAAACGAGAGTAACCGGTTATTTAAATAAATAAAAAAAGAACGGGCGACAACGAAGTGGAACGAAAATTTAATGCGATTCGAGAACTAGCTACGTCACTTCGTAATCATTCGATATAAGAGAAAATTGTCTCGACCAATCAAATAATCTCGACCGTGCTATTTTCGATACGATCTCCGGCTAAATTATCCGAATTATCCGTCTGGCGCATTAAACATTTAGCCTCCGTCCGCACGTCTGCGACCTCAGACTGTCGCATACCGTCTCGGTCGATTTCGTCCGATTTCGAAACTGCGTATAGTAGTATCACGTCTACACAATCCTTGCACACTTCGTACACAGAAATTGAATACACATATATAGATACTTAATGTAATATATTCTAAGTGGATGTAAATTATTTTCATCGAATTCCTTGTCGTCTAAGGAGGAGGTAAAGGGCTCAACTGATCAAGCCTTTGTGACAGGATATTTGTGGCTACCCCCACGAAAACTGGAAACTGATTGAAAAGATCAGGTAGGGTGCAAGTAGGGATCGTGGCGTTCGATCCTCGTTCTCACGAAACCTCTCGATCTCGATTTCTGTTTCGTTCGCGATGAGAAACACGAGCTCGGAACAACCTACGTGAAGCGTTACCAACGCGACCACCGGCCGACAACAATAATTCGTTTCCGTCGAAACTCCCGAAACAGACGCTAGTCATGCCCCCGCAGGGCCAACTGAAAAAAGTGGCTAATCGTTCCTGGAAACTACGAAAGGGGGAATCGATCGCCAACGGAACGGGACTGTTGAACTTCCTTTAACGGTGGACGCGATCGAAACGTGCCCAGGGAAAATCAGAACTGTCCGAATACCCGAAGCATCCAGGAACGCGAAATACGTGATCGGCCAATAAAATACTTTGATAAATGTTCGACCTCTCCGATTCTAATCATTATTGGATGTTGTTCAGCTCGCGATTCTGAATACACGTTTGGTTCATGACAATTCACCAACGAAATTAATTTCCGGCATACTTGCAAAACACTATTTTTTCTTGTTACATTCAACCCTGTGTAATAACGGTTGATCTTATACGAAATTGAATACCTTCTTCATGTATTTCTACCGAAGGCTCCACGAAATTCTCCGCGATTATACATGTAACACATTTCTCGGTACTAGAAAAAGCATGTTTCAACACGATAAAGCGAAGTCTCTTAACTACAGTGTCGCGTTGATCATTCGTTTTGTTGCTCAATTCACGATTTATTCGTCAATAACGTTCAATTAACTCGAAAATTAAGTTGAAACACGGTGTTTGCCGGATACCCGACCCAACAATCACGAGTCATTTGCTTCCTCGTAAAATAATCGTGATATTGTTTCTATTCCGGGTAGAACGATTGCGTCAAATAAATCTTGTTTTATTATAATAAATACGAACAGCTAAATACATTATTAATTACCGTTCGTTGAACGCACATATTATTCGTCCCGTAGCATCACGACTTGTAATTTACATTGGACAATTTATATGAAAGTGAATAGTGACATGTTAATCTGACCAAGTTTAACTAATATGAGTGCATAATATGTACAAATTTGTACATATCGCTTATTCATTGAAATATTTGCAAAACCGGATGATTGTAAATTACGGACTTAATAGATGTGATTTATAAAAATGAGCGGTTGCATTTTACTGACGCGAAAACGACGAATTGGCGATCGACAGGGTCCTTTTATTTAGGGTCAATGAAAAATTACTCTACTGGTTAAATAGTTTCTGCATGCAAATACGTTACCTCCGAGCTAATGTGGGCACTTCGTTCTCCAGGCTGGTGCTAGCAAAGCAATAGCCATCGGTCTCGCACGTGTGATTGGTCTCCGTGCAGATATCGCAGTAACATTTCAACAGTCCTGTAAAAAACAAAGCACATTGAATAAAAACGGCGATCAATTAATTAACATATTAAACATCATCGAATATGTATGATGCGCGATTGTGCGATATACTTATGTACATATGGACACACTTATAATTGTTTTCGTTGGTGGATAATCTAAAATGATAACGCTCGATAACGTATGTAGCTAAGCGTTGTTTTCTGCCAGCTCCTTACCGAATTTATCATCATATCCAATTCATGCTATGATATCTTGCAAAATTTCTTAGATAAAAAACCGGGGTACTGCAATTTCGCTTGCGTGTACGAAGTATTTAAAAATACGCTGATAAATCTAGATAAATTATATGCGAATGAAAGATAATATGATGCTCGATATACAATATATATCGAATATTCTCCGATAAAAACGCCGAACGATAATGTATTCCATAGCTATTCATAAATTAACTGGGTTAATCGCATTTGTGAAGCAATATTCTTGGTAAATAGGTTTGGGAGGCTAAAGAATAGCTTCGGGCACGATTGCAGCGCGATTTACTAAGAAAAATGATGCCAGCATTATTTCCACGGTAATTTATCACGCGCTTGATGACGCACGTCATTTCAATCTTAACATATTTTTTGTGCTAGTCCAGTCAGGTGTAAGTTTATACATTCTACCGGACCAAGTCCACGAATCGGCTGTGAACCAATCAAAATCTCTTGCTCCGAAATTGGGTCCGATCGAACAAAACCAGACACCACGTGATACTTCATAGGAAAATTCTTTTTATTTTCAGCGGATTGTTAGCTTTCGAAACAATCAAGTTTGAAGATCCGCTGCGTTCAAATTATATAACCTCGCTATATATATATATTTATTTATTCTAGCCTTATCGGCCTGAAAATAGGACTTGGTTTACATTTCTCTAATCTTATACTTACTCATCCCTTCCTCCGTTCATGCACTCATACATTCACAAAACACTCTCCTCTCCATAATTCTTGCCATCCTGTGTAAACTTTACTTAATTATAATAAACCATAACTAAATTAAACTATCTCGACCTAAAACATCGGTGAAACTAACTATACACTAACTATTCATAAACTAAACATATATTATACCTTTGTAATATTAAACAATCTTTGGTAGAATCATATTTGCGTTTCCCCGTCTGCCTGTGATCAACTTATAATTATATTTCATAGCCTAGCCCTTTCCATCCCCTTTAATTTTTTATCCAGCATTTATAACTTTGCTATATAACATCTTTTATTATACATATAGTGTGGGGTACATGAATTTTGGGGCGGTACGACCTGACGAAACGAGTTTAATTCAAGTCATTAGCGCACGCCCACATCGAACAGTCTCGCAGATCGAGCCCACTTCTTTCAGACACGCAGACCCGGTCACGAAACCTGAGGAAATACCTGTATGAGATTCGCCGCATGCCGAGGCCCATAGAACGTTTTTCTGGTAAGGGTAGGGTCTGGTAAGAGGATCTGTTACGGTACAGGCCTTTCTTGTCATTGGATTCGTATAGAGACCTGCTCCGTAAATTCAAGTACCGGCCAGGATCCGAAGGACCTGGCTAAGGATTCTTAACCCTTATTGGGTAAACGTTTTTTCGGCACTCTAATTATGTAAAGGTGCATCGTTTGCGTTCAACCGGTTTTCTCTATGTGCTACAGGAAAAATGTCTCACGATACGCTTAATAACATATATGATTACATTTTTTCTTATTTCACGATTTCTAATGATTATATATTATTAATATGATAATTTGAAATTATGATTTGAAATAATACTTAGTGATTGATGTATACTTGAAAGCATTTTACTAACATTTTTCTTCCAAATAATTGAATTCAAAGGCAACAATTAAAAACAGCTGTTAATCAAACATCTCGAAAAGAAACATGGCAGAATCAGTACCACCTAATTACAGTCTGTTAGTTCGTCATCCAAAGTTACGTTCCACTCAAAAGATTAAGGTGACATTGTTTCGCATACACGGCATTGTTTCACGTAGACCGAGCGCAGATCAAAGTTGGGCTATGGTACGACAAACTTGCTCGCGAATCGCGAACAGCTTTTATGAAGGGAGAAAGAGAGAATGAGGTAGAGAGACTAACGCTCCGTTGTACAAACCCAACTATAATCGAGTTGAATAGCAAATGGCTAACAAAACGTCAACGAAATGAGAGTACATATGTACATGCGTGACGATATTAAACTCTCGTGTGTTTAACTCCGTTCTGCATAATTTCACGTCGTATCGAACGGCCTCATCCCTCGTACATACAAAGCCCTACCTAAAAGTATTGTCGTACCTTAGATTCTCAAGTCGTTTTTGAACAATTCTTATAACAAGACCAACAATAGTTACATACGTATTAATGCAATACGTGTTCGAACATAATCTTAAAAAAATTGACTAGCAGACTAACTTGAACTATGTCAGTTTTAAAGTCCTTAAATAGCATACTATAAGATAAGTTTTCCCTATCTAAATATTTTAATAAATCATAATATGCTGCAAGAACAATTTTATGCTTCGGGTTGTACTTCTCAATACACAGAGGAAAGAAAGTGAACAGAAAAAGACGATTTTACATTGTACCGTAGAACATGAAGCAGATAATTGCAGCTAGCAGTAGGACTGCCGTTTGACCAATCCCTACACAATATTTCCCTATCCATTACTTTCCGAAAATTATCTTCTGAGAAATTGTTCGACAAGCAATAACGTCGTGATACAGCCCATTCGCCGTGTAATTTATTCGATGGCGGAGGTTCGTGATTGACTGCGTAGCCATCGTGCGATTTGTATTTAGACCTAATTTACGATTCCCCTGTACGAGCGGAGGATTGGACTGATCTCGAATTCTGTATTCATGAGACCGGATACACGAGTGAATATGTGCAGAGTGCGGAGTCCGGCAGGTACCTTCAATGCATGTTGTTAAGTTAAGCCAGCGATTGAGGGAACAGAATGATAGAGGATAGGAGAAAACTAGGAACACGGAGAAACGAGCACCATCAGTATAATACGCATTATTGCACTTGAATGACGTTCATGTAATAAGCGACCCGGTATTTTTTCTGATCTGTCGTTATTTCTGTATCGATCATTTCTCATTTTATTCAGTTTTACTAATAGTTGTATAATGTTTCAACCGTTGCTAGTTACGATGTTATCGCTCGAAGCAATAAAAGATTCATAACCACTCTGATTTATTACGCATGCAAAAAATGAAGCAAAAAGAGAGAGATAAATGCTCCATGCAGAACTACATAGATGCAGCAAGATATGCTTTTAATATGTTTTAATAGGTCTTAAATAGTTTGTATTACGTACTTAATATTATCCCCAACTATACCCGTTCGTGTTGCCTTCACTGTCGTAAACTACTTATTGCCGAAAAGGACTGAAAAGGTATTATCCTTTGAGCCCGTCGATCCTAACAGAGGCCATAACTATCCATTTCAAGTGGCTTAACTACAATAGAATCCCCATTCCGCAAAAATTACTACATTTTGAAGTGCAATATCCCAAAACTTACCTCGTACCTGAACGGTAAATGAAACTGTCTTGAAAGGGATCTATCAATCATCTCATTTTAAAAGACGAACTTAATCATCGTATCTCATTAAATAATAACGCAAGAAAAAATTCGTTCAAAAACCATGTGATCTCGAATCTTGAAAATTCCGCACCAAAACTTTTGTCTATCTCCCATAACTTAGGAAGTAAGAGATTGTCTAGTGTTTTGTGGGATACCCTCTATGTATATCTTATAAATGGCTCTTGTTACGTCGCATATTTAAAAGTCATCTGATATATTTTTCGCATATGTTTCTCATCCGTAACAAGTACTCGCTGAATGAATATTGCATACATATAATGGCGCATATCGAATAAATTATTGATTCAACGAGATCTCGCATCAATAAACACAACCATTATGTCGTAGTAGACAGTCGTGTTTTCTTAATAAATCCTCTTAATTAATCGTTCCTCGCATTTGCGCGTCTATAGTACGTCCGCTATAGACACACATATGCAAGGACCAATCTTCTCGCCGCGTGATCCATTCAAATGATCCGAGTTAGCTTGATCTCTCTTTCGCTCTCGCGAATCTAACGAGACTATTCAACCTACAATATCACTTTATCGCGACCACTTTCGTAAAACTGCAATTTTAACAAATCTGTATTAAGCAAATCAAACACGTGCACATCCACTTGTTTCATAGAGATCTATAGTCTTCATTCTGATCATTTAGTTAAAAACATTAATTGAATAAACGATCAATTATAGAAATTAAGTTTTGACGATCCTGTATAATTTTTATTAGCCATCTTTGCCCTATTAGGTCTAAGAATTTACATTCTCTTCCTTACAAACTATTACCTCTATTAATTTATAAAGGATTATATAAAGGATCCTGTACTAAAAAAATTGTTAAGTACTATAATACTAAAAGAATATTATTATTATAATATATTATCTATGTCATAATTTGAATATTTCTTAAACTATGAGATTGTACAATTTAATTAATAAAACTAATGTAAATATTTAGAAAATAGTAAGATTAAACTGCGAATGTACAAGCAGCTTTCCAAGATCGTTATTTTCTTAAACTTAAGTAGACTAATTCTGTAATCGCAACCGTGGGCATGTTACCAGGCTCCTTACAAACTACATTAACCGTAATGGTTCCGCATTCATGGTTTTAGCTGCGTCAATAGTTTCTTTGCTCGAATACTTCCTTCAGTTTCATCAAAAGACACACTCTCCACAGCCTAGAATCTGGAGTCTAGACTCTAGAACTCTAGAGAATTATAAATATGAAGTCTTCCAATTTGTTAGGAATTTCTCCATAAATACCCTTTCTACTATTTAATTGAGATAAATGTGTGTTCTTCATCCAGAATGTGCTTCTCAAACAAAGAAAACAAACTTCTCAAACTCAGATGAACCCTGGATATTGTCTCCTCTGGACAGCATTATAAT